GTTGCCCTCCGCGTGCTCTAGTTGGAACGAGGACGTGTTGTGTAAGAAGAGCGTCAGGTGTTGTTTTTAGAAGATGGTCATCAAAGGCGTTTTTAGAGCAATTCGCCCGCAAATCGTTCCAACTTATGCTGACATTGAAGGCACCCATGAGTACAACATCAGGTCGATTACCTATCTCCTTTATGCACACCAGTAAACACGCATCTGTATCAGTGTCTGTGCGCGGTGGTCGGTAGATGGTCACGGCTTCCAGGGGCTGCGACCCCGTGCCTTAATCATCAGCCAAATAGCCTCCATACCATGGGTAATCCTTTCAGGCCTCTCGCACAAGCTTAATTCGTTCTTTACATACATAGCAACTCCTACACACTGGCGTTCCACTTGATCTCGTCTAAACAACTGGTATCCAGATAGCGCCACTTCGGAATTACTGATGAGCTGTGATAGCCATATTTCTGTTATTGCTATAACATCATAAGGACTTATCGGCTACCCGTATTCAAAGTTCATCAAACTTCGAGAATAGACTCTGAGCATTATTTGTTCCCTGAAGATAGCCAAATTGCTCTCTCCAGCTCTCACTCTCCCCCGTAGTTCCGCCACCAATTGTCGGCGTTTCAGACGTTCCGCTGGAGAGTAGTCCGGCTGAAAAAACACCGTCTATGTGAGTGGCGGAGAGGCTGTCTTCCGGGACAGAACCAAGTTCACCTGTTCTTTTTTATCCAAGACTATCTTGATAGGTAGAGGTCGGACAGTTTCCGACTGTTTAGTAATCTGTTTGCCTATCCTGAAGGCTCCACAAAGTCAAAGTGATAGTTTGCTTCTCATATGTTGCATTATACTTTATTGAAAACAAAGTCTAAATATTTGAAGCGGTGTACTTCTACTCCAAAATGTGGGTGCTGAACCAGATATTTATTCAAATATATTCAAAATATATTAAAATGGGCAATGACGCTAGGGCCTTTAGTTTTATTTAATTTAATTTTTCGATTGCCATTTTACAGGTAAAGTCAAAAGACATCTACGGTAAAAGATCGAGCTGACATTGAAAAAACCCCTGAAATCCTTATCTCTCGTGTTATTAGGGAAACAATTGCAGCTATAAATAAATGAATAAATTTTATGTTTCGTTGAAGTTCGGAACGGGGAAGGTTTAGACCAGGAACGCATTGTTCTCAGTCTTCCTCGAGTGATGCGGATCCAGTATGCTGCACAAGATGACTCTGTGTCAGGGGAGGGTTGCTCAGGTCGGCTGAAGAGTTAGCCAATTGCGGGCTGAAGATTCAGCGCTATTGCCCTTAACATGAAGCCTAGTACAGGATATAGAGTCCGCGAACGCTATCAGAGGGGAAGAGACATTCCACAGCGTCGGGACTCAAAATTCGTGAAGGTTTTCGGGAATGTAGAAAAGTAGTCAGAGCTCTCATAAAAAAGGGCTAGCTTTGCTGAGTTTTAATACGTCTGGATAGCTTATTCCCTATAGAAATGGCGTTTAATTACAAAAACCTGGAGATATCTTA